GTAGCGGGGGGTCGTACGAAGGTTCGGTGCTGTGGTGTGTGCGGCAAGCCTGGCCATAATGCCCGCACTTGCCAGGAGGCTGTAGAAGCATCTGATTCAGCTGCTTCTGATGTAATTATAGTTGGTTCCTAATGTTGTTGTGTGGCAATTGAGGATATTGTTTGTAGGGGGGGGAAAAGTGACCGACTCGCTGATATGACCGACTCGCTGATATGACCGACTCGCTGATATGACCGACTCGCTGATAAGATACGTTATAGCAGATATGGAGTCTACCTCATAGGCACTCAAAGTTCTCACAAACCCTCCCGGCCCTTCTAGGCCATCGGGGTTAGATTCTTGGAACTGTCGGTCCTGTTCGGCCAGTCAGGAATTATGCGTAATTACCTAGGTACCTGAACCACCGTGTCACACGCATGCGATGATTCTGTTCCATGGCCGCGAATCAATCAAATCTGGAAGACAGCCGACATCAAGCATCACCGCATCCTTGAACTAGTAATTAGGCCGCAACAAGTCCTAACCAGCGAGCACCACTTACACGGTATTTCAGATCCTTCTTACCCGGTTTTTGTACCTTGAACTCTATCTCTCGCCGCTGCATCGAAAAACTTCCAGAAGCACTCGACCTACCTCCAATTCACAGCACCAGACGGTGATGCCAACGGCCACTCCCACCACTCAAGGCACCCGCCCTGCTTCTACCGCCACGGTTCATAGGAACCTGCCGGCGCAATTCCTTCCCGGAAACCAGGCACGCTCGCGGCAGCCGATGGTCCGGCGTTGAGACCGAAGATGGAAACAACGAGCCAGCCGACACCGAATCCGGCCACGGCCAGCATCATCGACATTGTGATTGAGGCCGAATTCATCCTCAGTACGAGTCGCCATAGGACCCGGCGTTGCTCGTAGAGGTCTTGACCGCGGACTATTATCCAGCATACCGAGAAATTGTTTGGCAAAAAACGGGCCGCGGTGTTCCCAAGGGTGTGCATCAACGGCGCGACATCCCACGAGCTGTGGGTCCTCCATCCGGTCCCAAACTCGAGTAAGTTGTGAAGAATGTCCTTGGCTCTCCTTGTCTTCCTATTGAGTTAGGCTTCCTGTTTAAGGGTCCTGCCAGCCTTTTATATACCATTATCTTTTCTAGTTTCCTCATCGGAAGCCGGTTTTCTGTTTTGGGATCTCTGACATTTTCAGTCCATTCTGACACTCACTTACATCTTGATTGGGCAAATCACATCAAGTTGATCTTCCCCATTCTCCACACCGCGCGCACGCAGCCCCACATACCACGAGTCCCCGGCAGAAAAGCAAAGCAAGTGGTCTCCCGAGGAGGATGCCCTGATGATCGAGCTCCGGGGCAGCGGGATGAAATGGGACGACATCTCGAAACGTCTTCCCGGACCGGGCAGGAGCTCCATCAGCTGCCGCCTCCATTACCAGAATTACCTAGAGAGACTGGACGCAGCAAGTGGGACGAGGAGCGCAAGAACAAACTCGCGAGGCTCTACGAGAGGGGAGCCTTGCTCAGCCTCTACCATAATTTTCCTGGTGGTTCCCCTCGGGTTCAAACCCGTCGACGACTTCTTCGACTAAGCCGTACTGTGGACTGGAAGGGATTATTGGCATGGGGCTGACTGGGCTGGAAAGGGGTAGTAGGAGATTATATCTCATTTTTTCTCCGACTAAGGTGTGGCCGAAATCCAAGTAGCTCCATTGACGGTACCCCAAAATCGACTTCCACACCTCCTCCAAATCCCTGTTATCCAGCAGTGTTGACTGAGGTAGTACCTTACCCGGTACCTGAGCATTACCTTATGCAAGGACAAAACCAACGTCAAGGTCCAAGCAGGTCAGGCTCTAGTATGTTGTTCGGCCGCTCAACGACGGCACTGTATAGTAGAAAACCGTTCGGGGCCTCGAAGTCAGCAATCGAACGGGCCAAGTAAAGTAATCAAGCATGAGAGTGCTGCCAGCGAGGCGGATTGCTCACAAGGCGTGAAACATAAGGCCATACTTACGAGAACTGCGCGCCAATTCCATACAGAAGGTCCTGGGTTCTTTCCTTGTTTAGGGCCTCGATATTCTTTGCTCCCTCCGACTTGCCGGCACCAAGGTCGGCATGGGGATTTTTGTGACGAGAAACGCTCGGGACGGGCGAGCCACGCCTTGGGCGAGTGCTCCAGTTGTCGGGGTTGTTTCTGTTCGGGCCGTCAGATCTGGGGGTTCATGTTGCGTATAGTTGAGGGAAACTGCGGGATGTCCAATATAGACGGGAAGCCTGAAGAGTGCCTGGGGTCCGCGGTGAGGGTCATATCAGGGATGAGAGGAGTCGCAGGGGGGCAAGCCTTGGCAAGGGTACCGCACTCGCCGCTGGATCTCTGCAACTCGTCTGCGCCCTTGACCACAGGCCAAAGTCAACCATCTCAGAGCAGCCGCGGAACTGAGAAAGCTCAAGCAGCCCGTGTCCGATCCAGCCAGGCTCACACGAACGCTGCCAGACTTGGTTTCCCGCCCAGGCTACGGAACCCGGTTAGGGCACTGTCCATGCAGTACCGACAGGGGGGAAGCTTGCAATACCTGCACTCCCAAATAAACCAGAACGGTCCATGGTGCCAAGACCTTGTATGTCCACTGGACCAAGGTGTTGTCGGACTTGATCCTCTCAAAGGAGTGGGCACATTGGGAGTCAGGTGGCTGTCGAGCGCCACTAAGGGGGAAAGGACGGCTGGGAAGCCGGGCAACGGGTGCGAGGGAAGACAACAGTCAGGGGTAGGAGAGACGGAATGAAGTGGAAAGATGTTACGACATGTTGAGAGGGACGGGAGATAGGAGGTGGAAACAACATCACCTACCCTGTGGACATGATCGAGGCAGGGTGTCCCGAAGGGAGTGCGGGCGTGCTGTTTAACAACTGTAGGGCAAGCAGGAGAGAAGTATAGAAAGGACCCTGAGACCGGAGAACTCGTGGACAACGAAGGAGAGGAGAAAGATTGATGCTCACACCCAAAGCAAGTCGGAGGGACTTTTATAGCAGAGAATCCTTGGGTCACTGAAGCGCAGCCTGGTGCGAGGACGGAGCTGGCAGTAAAGACCGTGGCAACGGCTCCGACGAGCTGCCCAGTCGCGATTGGTGATGATGATGGGGCAGTCAGCCACAACCCTGGCTCGCCTGGTCACCACAACGTCCGGTCTCCCTTCCATGTCTCGTACCTGGACATGAGACAGGGCATTCAGTTTCCCCGGTTTGCCCGCCAGAAACTTGTCACTGGTACATGCTAGATGTCGCCCGGTGACAGTGACGGTGCGGCGCCTTAGGCCGGGACGAAGCGGCCTCGAAGCATGGCTTCCCCAAGCGACCTGCAAAACGGATCCAGAGGAAGCCGGGGTACCCCCAGAAGCTGTCCAATCGTTGCCGATGGAGTAGGTTGACCGCTGCATCGCGGGACAGCCCCGGGCGACTGACGAGCCCGACGCGTCGGAGGTCTCGCACTCCTTGCACCGGGGTCATTCCGGTTGCTTGCTGATCTGATTGGCGAGCTGTTGAAGCCCAGTGGTGCCAAGAATTTCGGCCAAGCAGTGATTAAGGCTTGGGAATCAGGAACATGCAAGTACCAAGAAGTAGTTGACCTAGCAGTGCTCGCCTTTGCCGCACTGATGGAAGTACGCCTCACTCTGTGCCAGCTCGTTATCGTGGTGGGGAAACGCCAGATCGATACCACCGGAATGGATGTCCATTTTCTCTCCAACACATAGCCGTAGAGCAAGTGGCCGGCGCCTCAAAGGATTCCGAGACTCCAGAAGGTCCCACCGATGACGGAATGATCAGCGTGCTAAGAGTTGCATGCCCTAGTTAGGAAGGAGGGGCCAGACCCTGCGGTTCCGTTTGACCCCACAATCTCTCCCATCGCGCCCTTGATATGTGACCGTACGTGTACGGTGTGCTCTACAAAGTCCCTGTACACAGCGGCCGACTACCCTGTACGCGACTTGACTGGTACCCCATCGCGGGTTAGGCGGTATAGGAACTAGCTCGCATTCCGAGCCCCTACTGGCGAACGCCCTACTGCGTACGGTGGAGTTGGTTCTCGATTCCCTCCACAAAGCTCCCCACGGAATGGCCAGGAACAACGGAACTGCCCTGGGCAACCAATACCTTCTCGTTCTTGTTGGACTGCCGAGAATGAGATGACGCCTGGGTGAAAGCTGAGCCCAAACAGCTTGGCAGGTACGCAGAAGATCCTCATACAGTGCGCAGTGCCACCATTATAGTTTCCTGAATGGTGCAGCAGTGCCCCTGCTCAGCCACTGGGACCGCATTTTCCATCGCCGCAAAAGCAGACTAGTGCGTTGTAGACTGTCGCGAGAGGTACTGCTCCAATCTGCCTGTCATCCACGAATTTCAAGCATTTCTTCGCGCTTCTCGGCCACGCTGGACAAGCTTGGCATTGAGCTGTGGGAGGTGGTACCGTCCCCATCCATCCAGCTCTTGTTCACTGGAGTCTGGACAAAATACGGAATAGCTGATGCTCTTGTATACCCGCAGAACCGCATCACCACCAGCCCGAACTGCCTCCTCTGCAAGTTGAAACGCCAGGTTCCGTAAGTCTTGTATCATACGCGGAATCCACGGCCTATTGCTTCTCTCTCCAGTGCTACGAGTAAGCCCCGTCGATCTCAAGCTAATCCATAGATCTCGAAGTCAAGGAATCAGCTCATTTCCTCCCAAAATCCATTTCCGGGTCAAGTGAGAATGGCTGAATGAAGATGCCTAGAGTGGCAGGCTCCCCCGTTACCTCAGGGCTTTGTTCCTTGACGCACGCAACATGAAGGTAGGTTTGGAAAGTTTGGTTTTACACGGGCTATCCTTGTATTCTGGGTATTGAATCACAGCTTGCAAGGGACTTGCGCGAGGGAGAATGCGCGAGGGAATTCGCGAAAGAGAATGCACGAGGGAGAATGCATGGCAAGGATTAGGGTTTAAGAAAAGCGGGGTCAAGTAGGTCGCTGTGCATAGTATGGCGAGAGGGGTGGATATAAAACTACGCTAATGCAGCCAGTTGAGCGGTCTCTGATCCAGCGCTCCCAACAATCCAATTTTTCTTGGCAATCTTCCAATCCAATCAATCCAATTCAATTCAATTATGGAAATTTTGGGCTCAATTCAATCCAATTCATACACCGTGATTGATTGACGAATTGCCAAATATTAGCCCTGATTTTTACCTTTTTTGGACACCCTGGAAAACCCTGGGGGAGTAACGCGTCGCATCGTGATGGTTTCCCTTGGTGTTGCGACTTCTACGATCCGCCTGAAGCTCTCCATGGACCGGATGAGGTAGCAGGCTACCTTGGCGAGCCTGTTCGGCCGGTGAATCAACCATTGCAGTGGTGGTTGAGCAACCAAGAGCGATTTCCTCGTCTGTCGAACATGGCGTTCGACTTGCTCTCTAATCCACCGATGTCAACAGAGTGCGAGAGGACGTCCAGCGTTGCGAAACTGGCCGTGGGGATGCAAAAGCACTTTATACAGGAGGATACGATCTCCAAGGTCCAGTGTCTGAAGAATTGGCTGCGAAACCGGGATCCTTAGCAGAGCTGTCAGGGGCCTAGTCGTCTCCTTGGGGGTTTTGTCGGGTCGGAATAACCTCACCCGGAATCATATGACTATAATTGCAATTCGTCAATTCAATTCAATTCTGGGGCTGCAATCAATCAATTATTCATAAATGCTTCAATTCAATTCAATTCTGAAACACGGATTGGATTGATTGGATTGTTGGGAGCGCTGCTCTGATCTCGCTGCGAGGACACCACACTACCGATCCTGAGCACATAACTCACGCTGTTGACCAGTTCCCATGCAGCAACTTGATGGAGGCTGTTGGTTCTAGGACCATCTTTGGTTGAAACATGCGAACTGCCGGATAAGGGAGAGACGAAGGCAATCGCTAAGTCGCTTGCCCTAGGCAGGAGGCGGCGTCATGTAGTGGCAGGCAAGGACGAGGGCAATTCAACAGGGACCTGGCTGCTCCCCAGGTGGCTTCAATTGTCAGGTGTATGACTGATCTCGCTACGCACTGCCGATCCTAAGTACTCACAAGTTCCTGACTAGGCCAGAGGAAATATTACCTTGCTAACCAGTTTCCGTGCCGAGGACATCTCCCCACGACAGGAATGGTGGCAGATGCACCATTGAACAAGGACCCGGCTGTACCCCGGATGGATCCCAACGCCACGCATATGACAGGGCAGTTTGGCGATCTTGGTGTCCACCTTGCAAAAGATGAGGTGCGATTGTTTCCAACACTTATTGTACTTCTCTGCAGGTTGTGTTCGTTGCTTCCCTCATGTTTTTGTTCTCGAGACATTCTCGCTGACATTTGCTGCCACGGTTCCCTTGCGTGCTGCTCTCTCCTCTTGCCTCAATGCTCTGGGCACCCACCATGGTCGAAGAGCACACTCCGCCACTCCCTGGGGAGTCCGTACGAACTGATACCCCAGAGCCGTTGTGGGATGACGGCACAGATGTTCCGAGCGTACGTATTTCCGCCCACCCGCTACGACTTCTGCTGATAGCAGATGTGTAGGACAACGAGTCAACGGCTACAAGCCTGGTGTCCGGTGACGGTGACACGGACTCCGCAGTTGGTTATCACTCGATACGGCTCCTTCCCCTGCTTCTGGAATTTTGACTGATGATTTAACTGATGACGGACCCAGGATAGAGACTCGAT